TGTGTGTGTGTGTTAATAATGTGTGTGTGTGTGTGTGTGTGTGGACGTAGGTGAGAAATTGCCTTCATCAGCCTCCATTCTTGAGGCTCCTCCCACTAAGGAGCCCGACCGCAGCCAGGTGAGTTAAAGACTTCAGTTAAACAACTGGGAGTTAACTGGGATGCTTTTATTGTGAAGGAAGAGTCTTGCTTTGTCTCCCTGCAGGTGAGGATGGTCAAAGATGGGGAGGGGTTAACCTGTCAGCCAATCACTGAGGGGGAGGAGCAAGGCCTGAGTGACCTCGTTAACAACAACAGACAAGGTGAGCTGATCAGCTGATCAATCTCAGTGATGTCACTGCAGCTGTTTCTTCATCTTCTCTTTGTCTCCAGATGTTAATGAGTCCCAGCAGCCTTCGCCCCGCCTCATCACCTCCACCCCCACTCAGGCTTCAGGGGTCCCCCTGCCTCCCTGCTTCACCACTCCTCACCCCAGATTTGAAGAGCCAGGCTCCGCCCTCTCGGACTACAGCCCCAGCTCTCCGTATGACCCGCTGTTTGAGCTCGCTCTGCCGCGGGCGGCCATGCTGTTCGTTGGGAAGAAGACCCAGGTAAGGTCAGGTGGACCGAGCCACAGGTGGTTTTTGTGAGCGTGCTCAGTAACGTGCTGTGTCCTGCAGGAGGTGCTGGAGAAGAAGGGGGGAGGACCACAGAGGGAGAACAGAGAGGAGGAGGTGACCTCTGTCTCCCCTCTGAAGGTTCTGGACCAGCTGATCGCCCGTGGAAACAACGCCCACGATTGCCTCAGCAGGAGGTAAGCCGCAGGAAGTTATCAGAGGGCATTATCAGGCAGAACGCCGCCTCACGCCCAAAACACACCGATCAGTATCACATCAAAGGTGTGAGTCGCCTAGCTTCATATTGTAACGCATAAACGCCCCCTGAGCGAGCGCTTTGGAGATAGTGGGAAGACAGAAGTCCTTCTAACAGGAAGAAAGCTGCAGCACAGCCAGGCTGAGGGAGGAGAGGCCGGTCGGGGTGAGGCGACAAAACGAGACATTAAACACGAAGCGAGATTCCCGCTGCTCGCCGATCGATGGAGCGAGGTGCAGCCATCGTCTAGTCTGTCGATGAAACCGTGTCCTTAGATTTGAAACGTCTGCACGCGTGTCATCAGAGACCCGTCTGATGTCGTGTAAAACGTGCTAACCTGCGTCACCTCTTTCTTCTTCTGTGGTGTTCACAGGTTATCAGCTGGGAGTAAGTCGGTGGACCGGAGTCACTCTGGAGGTAAACAGCAGAGCATGAAAAGCAAAGGTACCTGAACTCTCGCCTCATCACGCTCATTAACCTCACATGCACATGAAGCTGTAAGCTCACTGTGTGGAGCTGACAAGCTCCTGAACCCGCGCCGCTGTTTCAGCTCGTCGTCACATTCGCTGCTGTTTGCGGGCGCCGTCCTGAATCTGCGTTCAGGTTTGATTTAGCCGGCTGGTGTTCTCGGGTTCAGTTTTCACGTCTTGAGGCTGATGAGGAAGCGGTTCGCGGCAGGATCCACGCTGGCTCTTGGCAGCTGTGGGACACCGTGCTCCGGTTCTCTCGTTTAATGACCCTCAGACGAGCTGCGGCGTCAAGCTGCCGGGTTTGCATCAGCACAGAGGATTTCATTAGAACTGTGTGTGTGTGTCAGGCTCCACCCAGGAGGAGGAGCTTCAGTCTCTGACCAATCAGCTGCTGCTCGTCCATACTCAGCTCCAGTACGAGCGCTTCAAGCGGCAACAGCACGCCATCCGAAACCGCCGGCTGCTGCGGAGGGTCATCAACACGACAACGCTGGAGGAGCAGAGCGCTGCCATGGTAACACACACGTCAACCTCATCATGATGCTGAACACCACCCACGTAGCCCCTCCTCTCATGTTTTCTCTCCTCCGTCACGCTGCTGGTTGCAGAAGTCTCAGCTCGGCGTTCAAGACGAGGAGATCCGGAGTCTGAGGGCGAGTCTGGACGAGGAGCAGCGCCGATACTTGGCGCTGCAGCACGACACACACACACGCAGCGGGCAGCTGCACACACACATTGCACATCTGCTGCAGCTGCAACGAGACGAGCAGAGAGAGAGCCAGAGACTGCAGGTCACACACACACACACACACACACACACACACACACACACCATCAGCAAAGAGCTTCACATCCTGTGCTCTGATTGGCTGTTGCAGGGTGAGCTGCAGGAGTGCCAGAGCAGACTGCAGGATCTGGAGGCGGAGCTTCAGAAAGCCAATTACAAAGCGTATAATGCTGAGCACCAGCTGACCCAGCTGTCAGTGAAGGTGAGTCCCGATTAGTCGATGGCATCGTTGAAGGAGCACGGCGCCCAGCTGCTTCTCTCTGTGTGTGGCCTCGCAGCATCACAGTGTGTCCATGACGACTAAATACACACCGAGAGGAGGCAGATATGTGGGTCAGAGGGGTTTCACTTCCTGTCAGACACCGATAGATCTGTCGAGTCTGTAACGAGTCCGTGTGTGCTCAGGCTGTTTCAGTTTAAACCAGCAGCAGAGAAACTGAAGACAAAGCCAGTTTTTCTGTTTCTGAATAATGAAGGAGGACGAGCCCACAGTGGCTCAAAAACAGTAACCACAGCTGAAGTCCTGAGGCAGCTGCTCCCACTCAGTCCTGTTCTACAGATGTTTGTGTGTCTGTGTGTCTCCAGCTGTGCAGCAGTGAGCGGCTGCATCAACAGATGTTCCTGCTGAACCAGCAGCTGGTCCTGCTCGGAGAGACCAACAAAGCTCTGCAGCAACAGCTGGAGGGCGGAGAGACACAGCGCTGCACCGTAAGACCCACACACACACACCAGCTTCAGCCAGCTTCAGCCAGCTTCAGCCAGCTTCAGCCAGCTTCAGCCAGCTTCAGCCAGCTTCAGCCAGCTTCAGCCAGCTACTATTTTCTTCTCCAGTCTGTGCCGACAGATTTCTCCTGTTTATTCCTTACTTTTTATATTTTATTCAGGAGCACCCACAGTTTCATTGTACATGTACAATGATAATAAAAGGCTATTCTATTCAATTCTTGGTTGTTAGAAAGTGAATGTCCATAATGTACACTGTCAGTGTAACACAAGTTAAATTATATGTAGTTATTTATATGTTGACTTCAGGGAGGTGGACAGAGAGGAGGGGCTCTCTGTCGATCAGGGGCCTCGAATATGAACGAGCCGAGGGCCACTGCTGTCGTCTCATTGGAGCCACTTTAGTGCTCAAGTAGTACAAAAACAAACAAGAAAACAGACACAAATATTTCTGAAAATGTTTTTTGTTTTTTAAATTTCTAACTTGTAGAAGACGACTGTGCCTGTATAATTTAACTACCCGAAGCCTTTCATTGAATGACCAAACAAACACATCGCTCCTCTGTGGGTCCCACACGTGGCAGCACTGCTGCTGTCGTTGTGTTTGTAACTAAATCATCGTGCAGACATACGTGTACACGTTCCTGCTCTCTGCTCATGTTGTCTTCATATTAAATCATTTAAAGAACTTATTTTAACATTGCGCTCGACAACAAACATAAAAAGTCACTTCATCGGCCAAACTGCATCATATTTCGTCACATCATGTACGAGCCGTGAGTAGGGGTGACGTGAGCCGTTAGTGGCCCCTGGGCCACGAGTTTGAGACCCTTGGTGTAGATAAACTCCAAATGCTTGGAAGTTGTAAACACGGCAAGAATGAGAAACAGACAAATAAATAAATCCAGTTCAGTGTTCAAAGACCGAACGCTCCTTCATCCTCATTCGCCCACATGGCTCCTCCTCTCTCTCTGTGATGTCACATCCTGCTGCGTTTCTCTCTGTGACTAAAGCTCAAACATCAAAATCACATTTTCTTGTTTTCTACGTCGTACCTAAACATGACTCATCGTTAGCTCTGTCACGTCAGTATTCACTTCAACAGGATCTGTTTTTAACTCAGATTCGTAAAAACACGTTTTCCCTTTAGCCATGTTGCTATGACGACCCCACGCACCTTAGGCGCTACTCGACTGTAGCGGCGAACGAGTGGGTGATAAAGCGCAGACACGCGCCTGCATGCAGAGCTTCAGGATCTGATTAGCAGAATCACATCTACGACTGTTTCTCATCGTTTCAGTGAGACACGTTTTCTCTTCCACGCTAACCTGCCGAGATCAGCACATCAATCGTTACTCAGACTCCGGCCCTTTCTCAATTCTAAGTACGCGAGTCCGTGCTCGCGTTCTTGGCGAGCACGGACTCGCGATTTGTACAACTGGAACAGCAGCGTACTTGATGATGTCACAGGTCCAGAGTTTTTACTGCCGTCCTTAATTTAACTGTGAGTAATATGTGATGAAGCTTTAATCGCAGCCGAACCGCTTTACTCAGGAACAAATTAAACACTGAAACAAACCAAACATTAACATTTAGAAGTGATCTAAGTGACTTATATATCATGTTTAACCTCAGTAGTGAAATCTCCATTAATAAAAATAGTGTACATGTACATACGTGTACATACCTTAATAAAAACAAGCAGGTGAGATGTTAGAACGCTTTTATTTTTATTGTAGTGGACACTCAATATAATAGACAGCTGCTGGGGTTTGTTTAACCTGAGTAGCAAAAAGACCGCGGGGGGGGGTTGAAAACGATGTGCCGGGAGTCCGCTGTTCTCGCCGGCTCTAATAACCCTCGACCTCGCTGTCTGCTGTGGAGCCGGCGGGTCACAGACGTCTCCGAAAACGTCGGAGCGCGTTTGGAAATATGTGACATCTTGATAAACTGAGCAGATATTTGAAGTTCACACAGCTACATTCTCGCTTGAAAATAACTTCAAAGTTTATTTTGTGACCCAGAAAGAATAATATGTAAAAGTTTTTAGCCGCGCTCGTCCGCCATTGCTGCGTTTGAGTTTTGGACGAAATGCATTCTGGGATATTTAGCTGTACCAAGTCACCACCGATGCATGCTCGATAAAACGGGTGGAGCGAGAACACATCCGGGACTTCGCGTTCTCGGCTTGATGCGTACTTTGAACTGGAACAGTACTTGGTCTCCGACTGATGACGTATCACGAGTACACGAGAACGCAAGTACGCATATTGAGACAGGCCCTCCGTTTCTCCTTCAACGTATGTTTTGATTTAGATTTTTGTTTCTTATTAAAGACGGTTCACTAAAAGCACGTACAGAGTTATAGCACACCTTTTACGCTTCCTCAGACGTAAGTCGGGGAGTTGACTCTCTCAACAACACACCGCCCTCTGCTGACCCTTTTGTGTAATGCAAATGTGGCCACTATGATGTGCGCTGTTCTAAATGTACTCTGCTGTGTGTCAGGAGGCGTCCATGCTGCAGTGCAGTGTGGGTAAGGAGTTCCTGAGGCTGAAGGACAACGATGTCCAGCAGAGACAGAAGCTGGAAGCAGCCAATCACAGGATCACGGAGCTGGAGAGCCAGCAGGCCAGGAAAGACCAGCTGATCCTGAGCCAGAAAAAACTGCTGGAGGACACCAAGAACCAGAACAGGTCAGTCCGGCTTCACCTTCTGGAACTCTCCACACGGGAAGCGTCGGACTCAGACTGCGTATGTCGCTTTCAGGGCAGAGCTGTCGGCGTCGGAGAGCCGCTGTGCCGCTCTGAGGAGAGTTACTCAGGCGCTGCAGACCGAGATGCTTCAGCTGTACGGTCAGATCGTGGGAGGCGGGGCTCACCCAAACGGCGAGCTGCAGGACATCAGCAGGTAAACAGGGCCATCGTCCGAGGACGCCTCGATCCCACAGAGACGTCCAAAATGATTTAATGAGACGGGCAGAACCAGGACGAGTGTCTGTGCTTTTATTCTCCACGTGTGCGTTGTTGATAAATGTTTGCCTTTCTGTGTCATACTGTCCTCCAGATCCGACAGCGGAGCCTTACCTGATGCTCAGGGAAGCCAAAAGTCCCTCCTCCCGTTTTCTTCTGCTGTTGGGATCATGAACGGAGCAGTGGAGGTCCTTTCCACCTCCCCCGTGTCCCTCTCACTCTCCCCCATCGACTCCCCGCTGGCTGTCGGCTCCTTCCTGGAGCAACGAGCCCGACAGCTGTTCAGACCCACAGATCAGAACCAGGAGGAGGAGGTGGAGGTCGGGGAGGAGGAGGTGAATGTCCAACCAGCAAGCCCTCCACTCGGTCAGGAGGTGGAGGAGGCATCACTCCCTGTAGGAAGTCCTCAGACTGAGCCGCTGAGCCAAGCCGCAGACCCCATCGTGGCCCCCGTAGACCTGACACTCGCCGTCCAACAGAGGAGACACGAACTGAGCATCATGGACTACGACGAGACACTGCCCGACATCTGAGGGAGGAGGAGGTGGGGTTCCTAGGGGCTCCGCCCTCACTCTGGAAAAGAGCAATAAAGATGATAATGATAAGGCAATAAGCAGGCTGATCCAAGATCAGCAAACTTTCAGTAACGATTGTTATTTATTAGGGGAATTAAATCTACAGCTAGCCTGGCTAGTATCCACAAACAAAAATGCCCTCTAATAAGTGGCATCCAATCAAAAGGACAGTCGCTCCTATCCAGTGCTGATGGGAGTGGTCTGTTGGGCGGTCTGCTAGTACCGCCATAGTCTCAGCCATAGTATTGATCCATAGTTATGATAAAAGGAGTCTAGTTCAGGGACTCCAGTTAGCTGAGGTGAAGCCTCGCAGATAGCTAGCAGCTACAGCCGCCTGCATCAGCCAATCAAATTCCAGGATTTGATCACAAGAAAGTGACGCGGCTGAAACTGTAACGCTGAAGCTTCAGAGTCGATGATGTGCCTTTGTCCGTCTTTTTTCTACAGTCTGTGTTTCAGCTGATTTTCCTGTTTAAGCCAAAAAGTGCTTCATGCCAAATTAAACGCTGCGACTGATGATTGTTTTCTTTATGGATTTGTCAGCTGATCAGTAACTGCAGACAAACCAAAGATGTGCTCCTGAAACACTGTGACAGAAATAAAGATGTAAACGACTGTTTGTGCGTTCTTTGTTAAAGTTGTCACACTTTTCAATGCTCTTTGTTTAAAAAGATTTGCCACACATTTAAGATATATTTGAAAACCAACATTATTTTAAGGGAATTTGTGAACTTTGTTTCTAAATGAATTCTCTTATTAATATTTGACACCATGAATATGACATTTATTACTAATTAAATTTGTTATAATTAGATTATTACTAATCTTTGTTTTATATTAATTTTTATATGCAATTTGGGGGTGATTGTATTTTCCGGGTATTTTAATCTGAATATTTGACACTATAGGGAAAACTAACCTGATGTTTTCCTCACTGACGGATTTAAAGGCGCCATTTTTCTCCAGGTTCTGGCTCAGGTGATTAAAAATGCGCCAAACGTGCGGAAATGAGACTTTTCTGACGTCAGTCGGGTCCTGATCGATCGTCCCCTCGTGAACTCTGCACCGTTTGCCCTGCACGGGCAGTGATGACGTCGTTCCCTAGCAACCGACCAACGCGTCGTAGCGACCGTCCCGAGAGCGAAGAGGCGGGAAGGGTTTTGGTGTTATCGTTATTTTCGGTTTTAACGTCGTTTTTGTGCCAAAGTTCGGATTTTAGCGGATACGTCTGAGCGCGAGACGTTTGTTAATGTTTCCCGCGCTTCAGCAGCCAACAGAAAGTTCCTGGGAAACGGTGAGAGGTGTTTGGACAGGTGAGAGGCCGGAAGTGGAGCTCTGAAAGCGGACGTCAACTTTTTAAAAGATAAAATCAGGTTGACCGTTAAAACATTCATGTTTTATTGTTGTCAGAAAATGTTTGAACAGTTGTGTGTTAGTGTATGTTGTGTATTCAGCTGACAGCCCTTTATTCGTGGGCCCGTTGGCTCCCTAACCCTGAGTACAGGAGATGGTCGGTGTGCGGCGTTCAGGGGAGTCGGGACAGAATATCAGTGTTTGATCGGTGTGTGGTGGGCCTGGTGGTGCTTTCAGGGACTTCCTGATGGATGAGACGGTGAGGCCTCTGAGGATTCCTCCTCAGGCGTTCGTCTACGCCGACAAACACAACGTGGCCCAGCTGGTGCAGGTAAAGGTGCAGCTGCAGGTTTCCCACGCATGAAGCTGCTCTACATTCACTGTGTGTGTGTTTCAGAGCATGCTGTGCAGCCTGGTGATCGATCAGCCTGTTGATCCGATCTCCTACCTGATCGGGCTTCTGCAGAGGAGCAGCGATGATGGTGAGGTCGCCGTCGTGTCCCTGATGGCTTTTATTTGTTAGCATCGCTTAAAGCAGGGGTGTCAAACTCAAATACACAGTGGGCCAAAATTCAAAACTGGAACAAAGTCGCGGGCTAACATTAATATTTATTGGAAAAAAAAATCTTCCTCCAGATATAAGAATGAATCTTTTCTTATGGACTCAAACACGTTTTGCTGAAAAACTGAATATGGAACAGCAAAGCTTAATACTAAACAATATATATATTAGCTGTATAATACCAGTCGGCCAGCTCTGATGGTCATTTTGTATGGCTTCGTGGGCCAAAAGTAATTAGGCTGCGGGCCAGAGTCTGACACCTATGGCTTAAAGCATTCCTTTAAAATTGTCTTTAAACGCAGACCGGACAGAATATAAAGTCTTAAAATGGTCTCAGCCTTAATTCATCATTTTTTATCACAGAAACACATACAGGACGTTTGCGATATCTGGAAACTCCAACGAAACGCTCGCACACCTGTAAAGCTTTGAGTCAGGAATTTATTCTGACGTTATTAAAAATGAGACGCAACTATGGGGCTCATCAGACACCACGTTTTACAAATGCTTTTATGCACATCTGAAATGTTTAGTGTCAGTCCTAAACCGTTGTTCAGTTAGGATTAGAGTTCAGCACCGGAAACAGTGGCAACGATGAAGACACAAACACACGAGGTTCTCTGACGTCAGCTACACAATGAGCAATAAAAAGCTTAAATAAGCACAAACTAACAAATACATCGGGCCAAGAGAAGGACCGAAACACAGCCGAGGCAGAAACATGATGCGCTCTGACTCCAGCAACATCAGCACAGACGGACACCACTGCACTCACAAACCGCTAATGATAGGTCGTGGTTCTTTGTTCTGACGTCGCTCTCAACGCTCTTCTGAAATATTGATGTGGTCGTGTGTCCACGAGATTTTGAATGCAGCGTGTTGTGTTTAAGGACAGTAAGGTGTTTCATTTCTCCAATCGGTGGTGATCTTTGGCAAGCGTCTGCAGCAGGAAACAGTCAGACTGCAGGTCATGTGACCAGCTTGTTTTCTGACGTCTGATCTGTGTCAGTCCCCAGGGTCATGGTGCTGGGACCTCCTGCTGTCGGCAAACACACCGTGGTGAGTTCAAGTGAGCGTGGGAAACTTTCAGCTGACCTCCGCTTGCTCGTTTACGTTTCTTCTTCTTCTATGTTTTTTGGGGGGTTTTCTTCAGGCCAAAAAGCTGAGCGCCGAGCTGAGAGCTGTTCACGTGACCGAAGGCAGTTTACTGCAGTACCGATCAGAGCTGCACGCCGAGCAGGTACACCTGCTTTTTCCTGATGTCTGTATCTGATCATTGTTGACTCTGAGCGGAGTGATGAAGTCTGACCTCAGTGTTGTCACTTTGTGACCAAACCGCCCGACCCCTCCCTGGTCCTGTCTAGAGCCCGTTTGTTCATTCTGTGCATCATCCTGATGCCCGTGTGACCTGTGTTTTGTGTGTTTAGGAGCTTTCGGAGGGGGTGCTGGTTGGACTGGTTCAGCAGAGGCTGAAGGAGATGGACTGCTTCCACCGGGTGAGTCAGCCTCACAGTCCGGTTAGCTTAAAGCATCATTAAACATTTGTGCCGTGTTCGCACAGACCTGGGTCAAAGATCGTCGGTGCCACATGTCACAACCCGATTGAAACGTCCCCCCTGATGCCCCCCCCCCCGTTAGAAACGTCCCCCGTTACCCGCCTCACTTGCGTCTGTGATTGATGATAATTAGCGCTCTGGTCTCCGTTGTGTCCTACTATGATTCCCAGCAGGCCGAGCAGCGTTCTCCCCGAGGACGGGCTGATCAAAGGGATGCTGCTGTCACATCATGTGTGTTATATTCACACGGGCCGCTCCTCGCCGACGCTCCTCGTTAGCATCACGTCCCGTTTGCGAGGGCTGCTTTCAGATCAGTTTAAGGCAATGAAAGACGGAGGAGCAGCTGTCACAACAACAGCGACACAAACTGAACGCCTTCAAGCGGCATCGTGCTCAAAACGCATCCAGACAAATAAAGACTCGCCTGCAAGCGAGATCGGCGGCACCTGTCCCAGGTTACCTGCGCTGCCGGGAGGTCTGAGAGGGCGGGGCTTTTTGCAGGAGGTCTGGAAGAATTCTGCCTTCTTTTGCACTACTGCAGCTTTGAGCAGGACCCAGTCGCAGCACAGGTTCAGGGGGGGTGTCTGTGGTGTCCGCTCAGGGCTCTGCAGTCCCACAGGGGGGTTTCTAGTCTGCTTCTTTATTGTTGCTCAGTGTGAAGAAGTTCAACAATACGTCTGTGTCTCTACACGATAAAGAAACAGAAACTGCCACAGACGTGGATCAGCTGCTGGACCCGTGTGATCAAACATGGCAGACAGGAAGTTTATTCCATGTTTAACAATCAGAGTACATTCAAAATGAAATACACTGCCTTGATTTTTCTACAAGGTCAGGAAAGAGAGCGGTGTTCGAGACTTCAGTCTG